AGTATTATACAATAATACTGTTCCGGCTTACATACAAATTTGACTTAAGGACAGACCTTGGCAACGGAACCTGTTCTTAAACTGGGGATTACCTGTTTCCAACTCATTATTTGTCATCTACAGACATATTCAGCAAGAAAATAAATTAAAAAATGAAGAGTAAACTCAATTGGGGAATTTCAAGTATGCAATGAAGTAAGTTTCAGTTCTAATCATTAAGTTGTTCCATTTATGTTCTGACAAAATTTTGAACACTGGAATCTGAACAAGGCTTAATAGTATGCTCTGGATACAGATAATTTTAAAAACATAACTTGGGCATGTTTTATCTCTGTTTTTTACTCCAGCTATCCTGTGCATCCTTCTCAAAAAACATTACCTGGAAGATCTTTTGATACTGAGAAAGATGGATAAAAAATAAGTCACAAGAAAAACAGGCACTGAGAAAAAACTGGGAGCCCAATAGCTCTTGAGGGCAGTTTGTTATGGTACTTACTCAAGCTGCCCAGCTGTCGAATGATATTTGCCAGGGTGATGTTGGTCACACATTCCAGCTCATTCCGAGCACTGGGCAATGTCTGGCGGCACAGGTGCCTTGGCTCAATATTTCTTGTTACTAAGGGCATGGTGGACCAGCTTCAAACAGGACTCTGAAAGATAAAGAATAATCCCCAAACAGGAAAAAAATTATTTAGCCACAGACCTTAGCAACATTAGAGATACATTAATTTTCCTGCTCACAAACCAACATTACTATAGTGAACACATTTATGTTTGCATTCTGTCATAATCTATATGAGACAAACTTTGAAAATAAACCTGACTTTTAAGGTTGCCATAAAGAAAACAAAGCCTGATAGTTCCAACTCCCACCAACCAAAAAGTCATAAAGCTGCTGTAACCTGCCCCTCATCCATTTATTCAGAACTATATATCTGAATTTTTTCCAATTACTGCTAGATATTTTCAAAAACTATGAAAGACCAACATAAAATATGCACATTGACACAAACATTTCAGCTGGGGGAAGGATTAAAAATTTGTCATGCTAGACAAGCTGGATTCTCGTAAAAAAACAGGAAGTGCTGTTAGCTGACCAGGAAGCTTACTAACAACCGCTTTTTAGCCAGAGGGCACCATTTTTCATAAATTACCTCATGAAGGAAGGTTTTTCTACTAAGACATCTGCATTTAAAAAAAAAGTAATTTTACTGTACAGCAGGCAATGGCCTATCGCTATCAGATAAATACCATGCCTTTTGAAATTATTACACAAACTCTGAAAGGATCTGAAGAACAATCATGTTTGTTTGCCCTCCCCAAAGTTTTTTTTATCAAGGCTTCTGTAATTCAGTTAATATTTAAAGAAAGCATTTATTAATAAATGTTATTAAACAAATCAGTTTGTAGTTGGGAGACACCTAAATCGAATTAAATAAATATTTTACAGCCACTAGGGATAAAAATTTCAAAATACAGAAAGCATGATATGCTTTTGATGTTCATCACCTTTCCACCTACTATAAAACTAACCATCCAATTTTCAGCAATCATAAAGTATTAAAATGCCTGTATGCTCAAGCCATTCATCTTCAAAAGACACTGATATTTCTCTTCAAGAATTTGCACTCTGTTGGAGAACACAGCCATGTGTTTATGAGCTGTCCAACTAGTGAAAATAAAATATACTGCATTTAATTAGCTAATTTTCAAGGAGGAAAAGGGAACCCACCCCTAGGTTAAACAGCAAACAGCTCTGCTAAAGGAGACAGCTGTCTTATGACAAATGCTCTGATCTGCTGTGGGATGGAATGGGGAAAAAAAGCAGGAAGCTGACAGATTGGGGAACATGGCTTCCTGTCACCAACAGCACCAATCCAAGACTCTTTTTCTTTTTTTAAAGTCAGCTGTTTATGCTTGACTTTGAACCACCCTTTTATAGTCTCTGTGGCAGCTGGCAGCTTATCTCTGAGGTCCAGGAGTCATTCCTGAATGCTTTTCTATCGGGGTGTTAAGGGACCGAAGCTGATTTAGCTTTTGCTAATTACCTCCCAAGCCAAAAATCTGAATTTCCAAATTTGACCTACCACTGCAGAGGAGTTCAAGATCTAGAGGGTACTGAACAACATCCAAGGTTTAATGTGTAACACGAAGTTACAGTGGGGAAAAAAACCTAAAGAAATTAACAGCCAGAGCAAAGATCAGTCAGGAAATCTTAAAAGAAATTAATCTACCTCTTACCAGGTCATCTTGCTTGGTATTTCAGAGGTCAATTTGCATGTTAAGCTCATAATCACAACTGTTAGGGACAACTTCTAGTTCTGATTTTGTAATAGATGGATTTAGTTCTTTATTTTAGCACACAAAGTGATCTTTTACTCAATCTTCATGTTAATTCTGCAGTGTAGTTCTTTACTAAACTTTTTAGCTGGGAAACAGGTTAAGTAAGATTTATTTAAAGCCATCCACTATGTTCTTCGCAAGTCTGGCTCTGAACCCTAAGGTTAGCTTCAAATGCATGGGTTTCCCTGCAATGATTAGCTTCAGAGGAGGATTAGCATCCTTCAGATGACACACATCTGGTTTGCTAAATGTCAACTACTGTTACACAATATGCTGCAAATAGGAATATCATGCTGAAGAGATGCACAAAGGCAGTCTGTTAATTCTGATTCTTAGAATCAGCAAAAGAAACCTACGTCACCATTTGAAAAATATAAAAAATTATTAAGTCCCAGAACTATTCACAAAAGTGGCATATGCCCATTCAAAATTCTTGAATCAGTACCAACAGGAGAGAATATAAGTAGCTCAGGGTTGAACTGTGGAGTCCTTGGGTTCTCTGAGCTTGATTGTATTCTTGCAGACATTACATTACCGAGTTAGGTAACATCTTCAGTGCTCTTGAATCAGTTAAAAAACTGAATTCAGAAAATCTTCCTGTTTCACTTTTAGGGATTTTTTTTGTAATATACTTTTATCATGATTTAGAATCCATTGCCAAATATGCTTTATGATTTACTACTTTCTTTTGATTTTGAACACTAACTTAAGTTCTTTCTTAGAGAGATTATTCTTAGTTATACTTATTGAAGGATCAATGAAAATTGAAAAATCACGTATTTTTAAAACCCAAGTATTGTCTAATAGCATTCTTCATTCAAAGATTAGAATTCAAAGCTAATTAAAAAAGATTATGTAAGAATACAAATCTGCACGAACTTTCAACGGTTATGAGAACCCTATGAAACACTATACATGTCAAAGGAAATTCAAATCACAGATCCATAATCACTAATGTACTAGTACCTTCTGAGGAGGACTGTTCTAAAAGGTTGTTTCTTGAATGGGTAAGGTAAACAACACCTCCCTAGCATTAGTAATCCAGCTCGACTTAAAGCTCCCCTGATGAACTCATTTTAGTAGATATGACTGATGTGCATCATGAGATCCATACATTGCTTCTGGACATAAAAATTAATTCACTCATCAGGAGAGATGAATATACTCATAAACCAACTTGACCCTGTATTCTCTTTATTTAGGATATAAACAATCCCCACATTTTTACATTAAAAGTTTGGTTTAACAAAGCAAGAAAGAACAGTTAAAATGTCTATGGAGAGGAAGACTAACGTAAAAGAGGTAGCAATACAAAAGTGGAAATGGAAATGCAAACATAAGCATGTAGCAAAGAGGACAGGTGGGGGCAAAGAGTATCACAAGCCCACTAGTTATATAGAAATAACACCGAAGAAAACCACACTCCTTCATAAATGAAGGAAGACTGCTCCAATTTTACACTGTGAAAAATGAGGGGATTTTTTTTTCTGTTTAAAGTGTTAGAATTAATGAATTCTAACATTACAGTACCTGCTTTCCATGGCATTAGTAAGGAAAGTAGCATCAGAGGTATCTTGAGTATCTTTCTCAATCTAGTACTTTCTCAATCTAGTACCCTCTGAATGCAATGCACTTAAGCTCCCACAATCCCCAATCAGAATCGTCAAAGTTTGGAAAGTAATGTCAGCTGGGGATTATGAGAAGTGAAATTCAAACACATCTGGAAAACACCAGCTTGGGGGAAGTCTTATATAGACTATCCGCCTACAATTATATGATTATGCATTTTAACCTCAAACCCTACAGTAAAAGACTGTGTGACAGCAGGCTACCCTTCAGGTTATATATGGATATAATCCTTAACAGCAGCTAAAGCAAAAACGTCTGAACTATCCAAGAGTTCTTATACATTGCTTATCAGTCATTTGAAGAGATCCACCACTTGCATACAATGCATATCTGGCTGGAAAACATGCTAGCATTTGTATGCAGATACTACATTTCAGCTTGTACAAACAAACACTAGCTTGTAAAAGGCCCAAACATCAAAAAGTGGACTCTGGGGCACCCAAAGCATAATACAAATAAAAGTACCCTGGAGGTTGAGTAAATGACTCATGTACCCCTGAACAAACCATGATTTTCACTGTCACAGATCACAAAAATGCTTACAGAACTACTTCATGTAAACAATTCTTTGGTATTAAACTACTCAGGGATGTTGCTTTTTCCCCTGCTTGAAAACCCTCAGTGAACACTGAAAGGAAGGAAACCAACAAGGGCCTCACCCTCCCCTAAAATAACAGCAAGAAAAGCTTCAAATAAAAAGTTTCTGAAGAAGTTGACACACAAATCTCATAACTGAAGTAGAAACTCATGGAGGCTATGATTTTTTCCCTTATTTTTTAAACAAGAGAAACTATCTCTTGGACAATATGTGGAAAAAACTCCAAATCAGCATTGCCACAATAGTTCTTCACTAATGACACACCACACTTTAACATCAAGTATCTTTTGGGATATACATCCGAAACACCGCTATGATGATTCTGAAAGCAATCTACTCTGCCTACCCGACGTGTTAAAGAAAAAGTTCTGAGCCCTATTTAGATGTTTCCTTGAATATGTCAGCAATTATAGCTCTGTTTTAAAAAATATAGTTCCCTTTTGGACTTTCCAAATATTTGCATATCTTTGCTGCTGAATGTTATCAGAGGTTATGCAGATTCCACTGGTATATAAATGGAGTCTACTGAGCCAATAACTCCAAAGTTGGGTGCTTGTTTCACTGATTTCCTAAAGTCATTCAACATGTAAGATGCCATGTGCAAAAAGCAAACTGGCTCCTTAGAGTCATTATCTGGGTGCACCATCTTTAGCTACAAAAACTGCAACCAAATGCTTCCTGTTACTAGTCTCTTGCATTGCTATGTAGAAATGTTGGTCTGTTCCTTCATGGTTTCTTCAACTTGGTAATGTTTGAGGGTTTTCTAGATGCACCGCTGGTTCAGGTCCTATCACGTTTGTTGGGTTTAAGTTGGAATTTGACTTACAGTGGTGCTTAAAAGTTTGTGAATCCTTTAGAATTTTCAATATTTCTACATAAATATGACCTAAAACATTATCTGTTCTCCGCACAAGTCCTAAAACTAGAAAAACAGAATCC